CCTGTAAATATCTTGATTCATGCTTTTCTCTGCATATTTTAAGAGGTGTGAGCTCTTAAGCACAGGGGTTTAGAGACTTTTTTTTTTTAAACTTTCATATGGTTTTTGAAGCCTGATGTGGGATTACAAAATTGTTCAGTATTATACAACCTGGCTAACCCTGCCCGTTTCAAATTGCCATGCTAATTTCCAAAATAAAGCCTGTTGTTGCCAAATAAGTTGTTGTTTTCCTGTCACAATTCACTATGGAGAATCCTGATAACTTGGACAACTTTATTCTCATTTAACTGAAGAATAAGTCAGACTACTGGGCACAGACTTTACACTTTTGGAGTATATCACACTTCAAATGCACATACCTTGAAGATATTTATCTAAAAGCTATAATGTAACTATCTTCTTGTCTGTAATTTGCAGCCACAGCCTTGGCAGTGCATTAAAACCAGTTGGATATTTCATAGTAGGAACAAGCTGAAGGAGTTTCTGAACCACTGGCAGTTATCTTTTTTTTTAATTGTGGTGGGTGGGGTGCTTCAAGAGAACTTGTTGAAGGACAAAGGACCTGCCTTTAAAAAAGGGTGGCTTCTGATTCTTGCTGGGGCACCTCCGGGCTTGTGGGGCTTCCCTTCCCTTCCCCCACTTCCTTGCCAGGCTGCGCTAGCGGGAGCTAAAGGATAACTGGTAAGCTAACCAGTTCTCACTGCGCTTGTCAGTTAAATGATTAATTGTTTGACCTTTCACATTCCTGGTTTCAAAGAGGATGGAGCTAGAGTGTTCTTGTGGTGAGGGAGAAAGAGTCCAGGGAAAATCCCAGGTGGGGGAAGACTGCAAGGGAGAAGCTGCAGGAGAGCTGGCCCAGGGCCTATGAGGTTAGGGGCAGAAGTTACACATCAACCAGCTTAAGTCATCAGAAACTGGTTTAAACCTGTAACCAAATAGAAGTCCAGGACACACAAACCAGTTTCAAAATGGCTGAAACTGGTTTAAGATAAACCTGGTTCAATGTAGTATCAGAATAACTGATTTAGGTCAAACCAGCTTATGTCCCAGACCCCTTCCTGGCTCAAATTAAATTAGAGTTCCCCAGCATTTTGCAGCAGCCCTGGGCTGGGCTGGGCTGTCTGCACCAGAGAACAGGGCTGGTCCCTCCCCTCTGCTCCCTAGCTGGAGTAGAGGGCTGGCTCACTGCCCTCCCAGGCAAACCCCTGCTGGGTTCTGGGGCAAGGAACAGGGGTTAAACTTCCTTTCTCCCAAGTATGGAGCTGCCTTGCTCTGCTTACTTAGTGCTGGCTGCAACTGTGGACTACAAATCCTAAAGGTGCCTGGAAGCAGGAAGAGGAAGTAATGAGCAAACCTGCAGGGGCCTGCTGTTGTGAGTCTGGACTGCAAATCCCAGAGACCTCAGGGGCAGTAGGAAGAAGTGAACACATAGCCCATGCTGGCTACATGCTACAGAGCTGTGCTCTAGTGCCCCCCAGCTTCTGGCTTGAGCCACTGCAGGCATGTGGTGGCATTCCCTTATTGGTTCAATCTCTACAGTTTAGGCTAACCTGCAAAAACTGAATCAATTCAGCCTTGGGCTTTTTGACTGTCTGTACTTAGCCTGGGTGCTTACTGCAGAGCTAGGCAGACAAGGTTCTTTAGGTAAATGTGATATCTTTTATTAGATGAGCTAAATAGTTGGAAAAAGTGTTCTTTGCAAGCTTTTGGGTACAAACACCCTTCTTTAGGCACAGGGAGAGTTTGCTGTGACTGAAGAAGGGTGATTGTACACTGGTGGTTTGGGTTGGGGAAGGTGGAGGTCCCTATAGTGCCTGGGGGCATAGGAGTATCTTGAGCTCTGCTAGGGATGTTTCTCCAGTGGGATGTTTGTCACTGCAAAAGCCTCTGAGGGAAAATGCTGCCTCTCACCTTGCCAAGCTGCTTTCTTTGGCCTTAACTAGGGAAGACATTGTCACTTGTTTCTTGCTCTGACTTTCAGCCTTTGCAGCAGCCTTCTGCTTCACATGTGCCTTGCACTCTAAATGATGATCCATGCTGGTTTTTCACAACACATCCAAAGTTATGTTATAGGAGGTACAGAAGAGTCTGCCTCCATCTATGTGCAAGGTCCCTGCAGGACACTGTCTTATATGGTCCAGCACTGAAATATATTTGGCTGTCTTAGAGGATTTCTTAGCATTTGTCTCTGCACTTCCTTAAGCAGGAGTATGTGTGCTGCAGCAGCATGCCTGTGGGCACTTTAAAAGTTGGTGCCAAAACCCACCTGCTTCCCTGGCTGGCCCCGGACTTGCTCCTGGACTGAGCCTACATCCGGGGCTCAGCCTCTTATTTGCTTCCTCCCATGCTTCAGGATACCAGGCCTTCCTGCCCTCTTCTGTTCTTGCAGCTCATTTTTGCTTACCTCCTTCCCCCCTCTCCTCCCCAGTAAACCCACGCTTTTCACAGAGCCTGCCTGAAAATGTGGTTTCTGTGAATTGTGCCATCACAATTTCAGCACATCCCTAGTCATAGTAGACCACAACCTGAATATAAATCAACAGTGTGATGTTGCAAAAAAAAAAATTGTATTTAAGACTTAGGAGGTAATTATTCCACTCCCCTCAATGCTAGTGAGGCCTTAACTGATATAATGTGTACAGTTTTTGGCATGCTGGAAAATGCCAGCAAACTCAAGACAGCAATAAGAATAAAAACATGACTGATGAGAGGAACATACGAATGTCTTCAAATATTTAAAAGGCTGTTTGTAAAGGCTGTAAATCAGCTCTTCTCAATCACTCTGGGACTGGGACAAAAAGTAATCAACTTAATTTGTGCAAAGATGATCAGTTAGCATACTGGAAAAAACTTCTGAACTGTGGTGAAATGCTAGAACAAGCTACAAGAGCATTATGAAATCTCCTTTACTGCTGGTTTTAAAATCAGATTAGACATCTGTTAAGTCTGTTTTAGCTTTACATTTCTAAGACCATATTTTAAGTGTAAAAAATACAGCTGTGTGTGTTAGGCTGACATTAGGTAGCAGGCAGGGCAGAATGGCACCTTAAGGACCTAACTGATTCAGAGAGGCATGAGCTTTCATATGCATGTGGGGAATGTACACTATTTACAGAGAGGGGCAGGGTTGCTCTAGTGTCAAAAGAGCTTGGTAGGATAGCAGCAGTTTTGCCTGAAATAATATTAACCGCTAGCTCTGCTTCAACTTTGTCGTTATTAATCAGTCACATCTCTATGCTTACAGGGAAAAACAAGTAACATTTTCAACCTACTGCTATTCATAAGGAGGTGGAGAGAATTTCTCAAAGTGAACTACTTACTATGAGATCCTATCTTTTCCTGCAGACTAAAGGGTGCTGTTAGCATGTTACATTACAAAAGTTAATACCTGTGCACAACGATCCTGAAAAACTAGAAGGGACTGGGGGAAGACCAATACAGTACTTGGTTACCAGTTGATACAGATCAGGTATCTAAAAGATTTGATTATTAAAAAGATTAGGCAAAATATTTTTGTGTTGTTTTTTAATATGAATATTGTTAGAAACCAACAAAGCCTCACTCATTTCAATCTGCTATTTTATTCTCTGTTCAGTCCACTTAAGACAATGTAGCAGCCTTGTTTCAGTGGAAGATGTTTATTTTCACTACCTCATCTATCTCAGGCCTGTCCAACTTAGCTGTAGCTGGGGCTGCAGGCAGTGCCAATATGTGGCCCTTGGGCCACACATGGCCAGGGCAGCCCTTCCCAGCACTCCTCCCCCCTGCTCCCCATACTGCCCAGGCTCCATGGCAGCATGAAGACCCCTGCACTCCACTGGCAGCATAGGCTCTGCAGGTGGCATGCAGACCCTGGGTCCTCCCCTGACATGCGGCAGGAAAGGTAGCTTCCAGGGCCCACGGGCTGTGTGCAGATCATGTTCTGTACTTTAAAAGCTACTAAAAAGAAGGATGGAGTTCAACCAGTCACTGAATTAATGGGTTTGCTTTGTGTTTCTAAACATTTTGTTGTTTAAATGCATCTTATTTCTTCTCAAAGTAACGCTGCATAGTTCATTAGAAAATACTGAGGAACAATTCAATGGAAGCACTCATTCCCCCCCAGTGCAGCACAAGTATAGACACCCTCACGTAAAGTGTTTTAGCAGATTGGTCTTTATCTGTATCACACCACCTCTATAAAACTATTTTTAATGCAGTCACATCAGCATAAAAATTGGTGTAACAGGTTGCGTTCACGTAAGTGTGGACGTTTGTTCCCCCAGGGACAAGAAGCAGTGGCAAATCTTGTGCTGCTGCTGCTACTTGTCCCCAGGGAACACCTGTGCTATTTGCCCTCTGGTGCATGGCAGGTTACCCTGGGGTGGGGTGGGGTAGGGTAGGGGAGGCTGGGGCCAGCACTGGGTTGGCCCCAGCAGCCTTATCTGGGGATGTCCTGGTACTGCAGCAGTGGCGATCCTGCTGCTCAGAGCCTGGCCGGCATTTGAAGTGCGGCTCCAACCAGCCAGGCTCCTGTTCTGGGTGGTGCACACTGCCCCCACGTATACTGCTTCACCCTTCTTTAGGGTTTTTTTTTTTTTTTTTTGGCCCTGGGATATCCCAGGGTCAACCCCCCCCCACTGCTACCTTGCAGCACAGAGAACAGTTGAATGTGCAGCACACACCGTACAGCTATGCTCGTCGGGACATAGACACTGAGTGGAGAATCTGACCCAGTATTTTAATTCATAAGACTACATTTACCTCACATTGTAGCATGGATCTTCATTAATTCCAATGGCTACCTCAGACGAGGCAGACAAATACACACTCTTACTACAGAGGTAAAAGATAACAAAATACAATTTTAATTGGTAAAAAAAATAACAAAATACTATTGTTGTGGTAAAGATGTTGGCAAAAACTTCATACACCTCTAGTTAATCTTCAGTATAAAGCCAATCAAAATAAATATCTTGTAACATTAAAAACCAAATAAACATATAAATACTTTTTCCATCTGAATTGCTGTTTTGCTTTTTATTAACCGTTAAAGCCTGTTTTCTTGTTTTGGCTGCACTGCAGTTTAATTGAGATGGGATACAGCAAAGTGCTTGTATGTGCTTTGTTTTGTATTAACTAATTTCACTCTGAAACTAAGAGGGGGAACAATGCTTATAAGCTACTTGTTTTGTTTTTGTTGTTTTAGAAATTTTCCTTAAGTTTTACATCATATGAGTTGATTTTAAATTATGCTTCCATTCAAATTATAGTTTGGCCACTAATTTTACTTGGATGCTCCAAAAAAGATTCCTGCATATGTATATTGAAGTTAATATAATTACATAAAACATTAAATGTCTAAACTAATCCTTTAAAAAAATAATTAAACTCCAGGCTGAGAAACTTTAATAGATTACACCTAGAATTGATTTTTAAATAATAATAATAATAATAATAATAATAATAGATCATAAATCTATGCATGGGAAAATGATGAAAAAATCTGCTTTCAACATTAGGAGATAATACTAAGTTTCCTTTAAAAAATTTGAGCTTAGTGTTTCAGGACTCCAGTTTCCACTCCCCAAGAGGCCTTTCCCTCCATCATATATACATACTAATTTTTATGTGGTGCTTTGCCAGTGCTAAACAAATGATCATTTTAGAGTACTCCAAGAGCAAATCTAAAGCATGATGTATTATTGCATTGAGATTCTTTGAGGGCAACTGTCGTGCTTACAGTAATATAATAGTGCTCAGTAAAATAAGAGCTGTAGGTCATACTTCACTCTTTCATGAAAGAACATTCATCTTAAAACTGAATATAAACATTAACTTTTGATCAGATAAGTCACTTCAACATTTCACTGTTGTGTTATTATTTTAATGACTTGTTCTTTCACTTCTGTATCCGGATGATGCAATAAAGAGGCCAATTTTTGAGCATACTGGGTAGAATCTCCAAAGAGCACAGAAAAAATCGAATCTTCATTGTACTGATCCTGGATAATGGCTCCCCTGGCATTTTTCATGTTCTTGTTCAAATTTGTGACAAACACCAAGGCTCGAAGCAGAACATCTTTGTTTATGCAGTTGTCAAAAAGGGAAAGCAACGATGGTGCCTAGAACATCAAGTACACAATAGTCAGGCTTATTCAATCAATTATATACAAGTATGTGAAGGACTCCTGATATGAAAAAACAATGATTTTTAAAATAATTATTAAATGAGTTAACTGCAAGTAAATTGACTAAAGCAAAAAAACTTAATAGAAAATGTTGCAGCTATGATGAGCTATGAAACCATGCCAGGCTATACATTTTTCTCTTTAAAAGAAGATTGGTTTGTGTGTTGCAGGCTGACAGACGCTTCGTACTCTGAATCTCTATAACGTGGTTGGGACTTTTCCCGGCATTTTCCTTGTAAGAGCTGGAGTATTTCTTCTGCCCAGCACCATGGTTTAAAACCCTCATACTTGACAAAACATTTAAGCTGCAGGCTGAATAAAAATACTTTTATGGTATGTTGAAGATTGGAGTACTTGGCTACTCAAATCTTGTTTCAGGTAAAATTAGGCAGACCAAATAGTTCAAAAAATCTTAAACCTAGGCCAGGCATCATATATTCAATCCATGGTTCTTATTTTGGTCTGACCTTAAATAGGTACTGGATTGAGAACGTGTGTGTACACCCCACCACCCCCTTCAAACAAACAAACAGCATAACAGTGGCAGTCCAGTCTTTCCCAATATGCTGGAAGTGTTTGCAGGATCTTGCAAACAGTCATAGAATCTCTGTGACAACATTGCCGATTGGTGTTAATCTGTGATAACTGAGATAATGAAATTCTTTTCACATATGACATCCTTAAGTACTTGAGTCCACATTCATCTTAAAGACTATATAAAAATATTTGCCTATGCTACTAAGCATGCTTGGGATTAATAAAACTGTTTGAAAAGTCAAGCTTGCTTTTCACTTATTTATCCTCTCATCTTGGAAAAGAACAGCCAGTTTTGCTCTAATGTTCTTACCTGCTGGCCGTGTGATGGACCGTTTGGGAGACAAACCCCGAATACAAATATTTGTTTGGATGGGTGGGGGTAGAAACATGGTTAGGTAATGGAACCACTTCTACAGAAGATATTTTTACATATGTTCCATATTGTCTCATGTTTCACCCAAAAAGTGTTCCTTGGGAAAACAAAAAACCCCAACCTACAATCAAAGAGTAAAATGATATGGAATTTATCAAGAGTATGCAACCCTTTATTGTAATCTGATTTACTACTTTTTATTTTACTTTTATAATCAATTGTGGTAGGACACTTGATTAGCTTTGTTTGTGCCAGAGACTCCCATAAATGGGTTTTAAAACTGAAGCGTTGACACTACACAAAGCATGTTGGATACTCTGAATGTTTTGAGAAGCTAATCTGAGAGTAAAGGGCAGCACTGCTTAAAGCCAACTTGAAGGGATGTTGATTTCATACATTATCGTATCCATGCTAGCTTGTGGCTAGAGGGTCTTGCACTTCTGCTCAGAGCCAAACCAAACACCAATTCTGAAGGCAAACAGGATTTTTCACCCCAGGTCAGACTGGCAAGGACTGGGGGGCGGTTTCCACTTTCCTCAGCAGCATGGGGCCTGGTCCTTCCTAGGATTATGTTAATAAATAACTTTTCTGCCATTGCAGTGGCAGGGCATAGGCATTGTCCTCCTCTCCTGCTTTAACCCTTGATAAGTTGTAGCTGTTCAATGATTTTGTGCCTTCTACTTTCATGATTGGATCTGTGATTTTTCTTTAAAAAAAAGAAGCCTTGGGTAAGTTGCTGCCAGCAAATGAAGGAACTGAAGCAGGTCAGGAAAAGAGGAACACTAGAAAAATAACTTTCTGCCAGGTTTTGTAATGCTTATTTATATTTGGGAGGTTCTTTCCAGCAGCTGGGGTTTGGGGAAAAGGTACATATGTACATAAGCCAGGGGCGGGCAATTATTTTGGGCAGAGGGCTGCTGAGTTTTGGCAAGCCATTGAGGGCCACATGCTAGGCAGCCAGGGGCAGATAAATATTAATTTTCTACATTTTTTTAGGGCCCCACAGGCTGGATAGAATGGCCTGGCAGGCCACATTTTGCCCATCCCTGACATAAGCAAATATGGTAATTATTCATTTGCTTCACAATAATTATTTACATCAAGTAATTACTATGCAGGTTGCTTTTTCATTCATTATTTTCTTTACCTCCCTAGAATACCCTGAAATATCTATGACTTGTCTGTAGTTTCACTGCATATGAGTCTTAAATTAGACTTACTGCATTTGTCTATTACCTTAGTTTTGTGATCTAAGGTCATGTGCCCACTACTGACTTACATCAAGTCTGTATAAAACTACTACTGGCCAGCCATATTATTTTTCTAGTTGCACTGTAACAGAGCATAAGCTATTAATACTCAAATTTGAGAGTACAATACTGAGTTAAAAGCAGGATATGAGTGGGAACCTACTATATTACTTTGTGTGTCCACTCTGTTTCACAGAAAGGGAAAACTGAAAATGGTTGTTTACTTTTCAGTGAAACAGCTCCTAAAACTACTGAGATTTAGCTGGCACAAAATAGAGAGCGGACACACAAAACAGTTACTTCAGAGCAGTGAACATTCAGCAAGTTCCCCCTCCTCCCCTGCTTTTGGACATGAACAGTTACTGTAGATAAGCTTAGTATGTAGCAGATTCTTTCCTCCCTACTACCATCTCTTTTAACACTTTCATCTGTCCACAACCAGAGACACTAAGGTCAAGTGCCAGCTCTACGCTGGTACCTAGGAGCTGCACTGGGAAGGGTAACAATGCCAGATGACAACCTATGCAAGTATCTGTGGAGAGAGATGTACTTGCATATAAGATCTTTCTAATTTTCTCAGCTGAAGTGATTAATTTTTTTTTTTTTGAGAGACAAGGAAAAATGAAACACTGAAGGATACATCTGAAGGGATCTGCAGCGCACCCCTTTTTTAGATGGCCATAGGTAGAAAAAACAACTAAGTACATTATCTCTCTACACAAGTTAGCATACCCACTAGGGGTGTACTAATAAAGATTTTTTTGGCTGATGCTGATAGCCAATTATTCACCAGGCATATTGGCCAATACAGATCTGAAAACCAATTTACAGGAATGCAGCTGGGCAGTGTGGAGAGCAGTGCCCTGCAGGTAAGTCTGTGAAGGGGAAGGGGCATGGGATGGGGGTGGGGAAGGGGCATGGCAGGGGGCAGATCGAGGCCCCCATGATGAGGGAAGGAGTGGGGCAGGGGCTGGGTGCACTTCCCAGCCAGGGTGGGGAGTGGGACAGAGCTGCAGGCAGCTCATCTAGGGGATCAGCATCCCAGTACTTAAAAATGGCAGCGGGAGCGCTTGAACTAAAGTTTGTCAAATGAGCTTTAGTTCAAGTGCTGCTGTCACAATTTTTAAGTGTGGGGATGCTTCTAACCAGAGTTGAGCAGGGTGGGGGCAGGTGCAGGCTGCCTGCTGTGGGCTCAGGGCTCTCTGTCTTGCTGCCTTTGCCCTGGGAGCTGCATGCTGGCCACACGTCTCCTGCCCATCCAGCAGCAGGAGACAACTCACCGCCACCACCACTGCTGGACTGGCAGGGGACGTGTAGCCAGTACGCAGCTCCGGGGGCAAAGGCAACAGGGTGGAGAGCCCTGAGCCTGCATCTGCCCTCACCCTGTGCATAAACTGGGCAGGGGTGGGACCCCTGGCCCCCATGCCTTCCCTGGGGGTGTGCACAGCAGTGGGGAGCTGCCCTCACTCTTCTCTCCCCCTTCCCCCACCCCAATGCCCCCTGGATGAGCCACCCGGGGCTTCAACCCGTTCCCCACCCCCCATTCGCTGCTTTGGCAGGGCAGTGCCCCAACCTCTGCCCCACTCTCTCTGTCACTATGGGGGCCTCATTCTGCAACCCCACCTCCATGCCCCTTCCCCTTCAGACTTACCTGCAGGGTGCTGTTCTCCATGCTGCCTGCTGCATTCCTGGCCACATGCATGCTGCAGCTGCACACATACATGCGGTGTCCAGGGCCCTGGCCAATAGGCACATTACATTTATTGGTACATTACTGGCTACACTGGCCAAAAAAACCCAATAACATTAATTTTCTTTTTATTGGTGCTGATCTGATATGGCACAGATATATCGGTGCACCTCTAATGCACATAAAATGATGCTACTGTTCTGTGTCATCTTGCAGAAAACACTTCATTTTGGGCATCTGGCAGACATGATGCCACATACTTTATGTGATACTTCTGCTATAGAATGATCTGGAGGAGGATTAGCATATAGACACATGCTTTATTCTATTTTTCTTTTTATCTTCATTAGAGTAAAATTTTTATCATAAAATACTAAGCTGCCCATACTATATGATTTTTGAAGCACAGATTTAAGAGGAGTATTTTCATGAAGTTTTGCGCTAAAATATTTCAAACAAACTCCTCAAAATAGTAGAAATCTTACTTGAGAACCAAGAAGATGTCTTGTCATGGCTGGGTTTGCAGATAAGTTCACAAGTACTTTCAGGACTTGAATCTGAAATGAGGAACATAATATTTCACGTATCAAACAGAAGAACTATACTTGACACCACTTTGTTCTGCTCTTCCATTCCTGTGCCTTTCCTTACTCTAACCATGCTTTGCCAATTCATCACCCGCTACCTTCTCATAACAATTTATTTCTTCAGTAGTGTCCACATGAAGAGAGAGAGCTCCCCCCATTCCCAACACCTCTGTGCTTCTCGCTGTCCTGCTTTTGGCTTATCTTTAAGACTTCAAGATCTTTGAAATAGATACTTTCTATGTGCTGATGCTATACAGAAAAAGACTATTCTTCCTTATTTTCAAATAAATAATCCTAAAACAAAGCAACGATGTTGTAGCAGTAAATTTTGCTCCTGTTGTTTATAATGTCAATCTGTGGCAACTCCAGTAGTTACTCATGCACTCTCTCTTTTTATAATGGTAATGTAACAAAGACCAATAGCAGCTAAGTTCTCTAAGGGTCTGGTCTCTCATCCACTGACTTAATGTCTAATGCTACTAGCCCAACTAAATGAATCACCCAACTGCTTATTGAACTAACCTTCTAACAAATGTTAGATACAAGACTGGGGGTGTTTTAATGAATTAATGATTATTACCATATTTTCAATTCTGATAGAAGTAGGTCTGTACTCTGTCTTTCCTTTCTCAGAGCCTAATGTTCATATAACCCCACCTTGTGGCATGGACATGATACTTTAGTCAAAACCAAAGAATGGGATGAGGGAAAATGCAGATTCGACTTATATAAATCATCTTGATAAATGCACTGGAACTCGGGGAATAAGAGTGAACAGGATTTAGCTGGCATGAATGTACTGACTTTGCCCCTAATGAAAAGAGGAAGTAAGATTCCCAATATTTTTGCTTGTAGTTTGAAAGTATATGTATTCCTTTTGAAAAACAACATTAAGAAAGATGGTATCCTGTAGAAATACACACAGGTCACTGCAACTATGACAGATCCAGATGAGAGTAAGCCACTAGTAGTTAAGGTCTAATATGTACTGCAGAAAGGAAAGTCAAAGGGCAAATTTCTGCTCTCACCTATACATGACAGATATTGATTGCAATCTATTCTCTGAATATACTTGGAGCTTCCAGGAGAACCAAATGTGTAAGACAGGGGTAGGCAACCCCCAGTACATGTCACAGCATACCATGTGAAGGCATTTTGCTTGGCACATATGCCTTGGGGCGGATGGTGGGAGAGCCACAAGGGGTCCAATCTTTGTGGCACTGCAGCCCTGGCCCCTTTCCCATCGTCCGCTGAGGCGCACGTGCATCTGTTGGTAACAGTGAGCTGGGCCAGGGCTCTGCAGACCCCAGTGCAGCTGCTTGCAGCCTCCCCACTGCCTGCTGCAAGCAGCCTGGGCTCATGGCAGGCAGCAGGGGCCTGCCCAGAGCCCGATCTGACTCTGGCAGGCAGCCAGGAGGCTGCAAACAGCTGCACTGGGGTCTGTGGAGCTCCAGTCTGGCTCTCTGCTGGCACCAGGTACAAGTGCGCCACTGGACGGACAGCAAGGAAGAAGCCGGGGCTGCAGTGCCACAAGGATTGGGCCCTTCATGGCTCCCCCACTGTCCACCCCTAGCACAACAATATCTTACAGTTGAGGTTGTGGATGTTTTTGGCACTCAGCCCAAAAATGTTGCTGACTCCTAGTACAAGATAAGAATTCCAGAGTTAAAGCTCGCTTTGAATCAGAGAGAACCTTTATTCTCAGCAGAGTCCCCCAAAGAGACTTATAATTATTGAGGTGTTCTGCATAGGGGTCTCCCTTGCCCAATGCAGAAGCATACTGATGGTAATCTAATACTGCCATAGCACTCCCCTCCTGGGAAACCTGCACAGGACTCCATGGAATTGGGCCACCGTAGGCCACTTGTGGGGCAGGTTAAAGTCAGACTCATTTTCACACCACAGGGGTTAGTTGGGAAGGATAGTACAGCTGTAATTGTTAGTGGTATTACTTTGTCCATACTGCACTCCATGCAGAGGAAATCCCTGTACACAGGGTGAGCATAACTTCTGGGGACAGTGAACACCACAAGAACCCGTCGTAGAATTTCATTTTTCCTAGAGGCAGTGCAAAGGCAGTGTTGCTGTGTGGCTAGCTCTGGTCTTTTAGAGATCATAGGATAGTGGTTCTCAACCTCCTTAGAGTCAGGGCACACCTCCACAATCTTTTTCGGAATGTGGCAGCACCCCAGCTAAGAACAACTGCTGTGCTCTACTTACCTCAGTGGTTCTCAATCACGTGCTGCTGCCACCAGGTAACACTGTGCAGCGTACCCAGTGCACAGCCAGACTGGGAAAGACTGTGGCACATGCTTCTGCATTAGGGTTCTTTGGCCCTAAAGCAGGTAGAGTTGGTTCGTGCTGCAGCCCTTCTTGGTCTGACCCTGCATGGCATCTCCTGGAAACAGAGGCATGCGGGACAAGTGAAACTGCCTGTATTCATTTCCAGGAAGAGAAGGAAGGAAAAAAGAGGGGCCTGCCTTCCAGGAAGGACTGTAGCATAAACTGCCTTTTCTGTCTGCTCTAGGGTTTCTCCTGAATACAGGAGGAGAGCATGTGGTCTGCAGCCCTGTATGTGGGACAATTTTATCTGCCTGGCTGCTATTGCTGCACCACAGTGCCTGCCACTGCACCCCGTTAAGAACCGCTGTTTTAGGAAATGGAGTACTGCATCCAGTTCTGGGTGCCGCACTTCAGGAGGGATGTGGACAACATGGAGAGGGTCCAGAGGAGGCCACTTGCATGATCAGGGGGCAGCAGGGCAGGCCCTACAAGGAGAGGCTATGGGACCTGAACCTGTTCAGCGCCCACAAGAGAAAGCTGAGGGGGATCTAGTGGCTATTTACAAACTAGTCAGGGGGGACCAGCAGGCATTAGGGGAGTCCCCATTCCCCCAAGCGCCACCAGGAGTGACAAGAAATAATGGTCACAAGCTGGCAGAGGGCAGATTCAGGCTAGATATCAGGAGGCGCTACTTCACTGTCAGGGCGGCTAGGATCTGGAACCAACTTCCAAGCGAAGTGGTGCTGGCTCCTACCCTGGGGGTCTTTAAGAGGAAGCCTGATGAACACCTTGCCGGGGTCATTTGACCCCAGTACTCTTGCCTGCCATGGGAGGGGGTCGGACTTGATTATCTGCTCAGGTCCCTTCCAACCATGAAACTATGAATTTAGGGCAGAAAAATCTCCTTTTACAGGGAGTTTTGGGGGGTGGGGGTGGTCAGAGGAAATACGCTGGCCTGGGAATGGTTTTGGGAAGGGATTATGCAGGAAGATGCTTGCAAAGTACTCCTCCCTCTGTGAGTAATACTATGCCAGAGTGCAATATGGACTAATAATCTTAAACCCTTTATAATTACTGAATGTGAATATTTTTCAGTTTCTTTTTAAGAAAGACCTAAAGTAATTTAGAAACCAATGATCAAAAAATAAATTAAATCTAAAAATAGAAAAATAATTTCAGGTAAATTAAACAGCTTGGTAACTGACTTGTTACACTAATGAAAGCACAGTACCTGCGTCCTTTCATTTCCTTCTGAAAGCAAATGAAAAAAATATGGAATCGAATGCGTCATCATAGGATGGTAGTTATTTGTAACAGACATATTTGTTAACAATCTGAGTCCAGCTAGTTGCAGTTCAGAGTCCAAGGGCGATGACTCAATCTCTCTACAGACATGTACAATGTATTCCTTGAAGAAAAGAAAAAAAGGGATCAAATATACAATTTGCTGACCTGCTCAGAAAAAACATTTGCCATGTCAGTAGTCATAATTAGAACAGCCTGTCAAACCAAATTTCTATTTTGTGATTATTTTCAAGTTCATAGCAAATTATTTAACATGAATCAGAATAAAAAAAAACAAAACTTGAAGCTTTTAATGAAAATGATATCCCACAACATTTCATTTGGTAAACACAAAAACATAGTATTTTGAAAACAAATTTGTTTCCATCTCCACTGGCCAAGGGCCAATTGACATCAGCATGATTCTTGTCCCTTTCACTGTACTACTTTCACTGCTGCCCAACACTAAATAGCAACAGCGAAAACAACAAGATTCATATCAGTTTCATCCAACTTCTGTCAGGGCAACCAAGGTCTTTGGCTCCATGGCAGGCTGCCTAACTCCTAGGGCATCTGTCAGTCTAGGCCAGTGGTCTCCAACCTTTTTATGGTGAAGATCACTTTTTAGTAGTAAAGGGCACCCCAGGATCTACCGTCCTCCCCACAACCCTGGACCACCGAGTGTCCCAGACCCAACTGGATCAGGGCCTGATCTCAAATTCTGTGCTGCAGCTGTGCCGAGCCAAGCCGAGCTGTGCCCGCCTAGCGGCCAGATAAATGTGGCACTGGGCCCCAGCCCTGCTGGGTCTGGGACTCTCTGCAGTCCAGGGGTATGTTGGGGGGGGGGCTCCCACCTCTGGGTGCAGCCCAGCAGAGGTCCCAGGGGCCTGTGCCCCCCCCCTTTCACTTTGGGAGGACCTGCACTCCGCTGCTGCTGGCTGCCCATTGCACCTGGAGCACAGGTGGGGGGGCACAGGCCCACTGGGCTGCACCCAGTGGCAGGGGCCCTTCCCCCCCACACGCCCCTGAACTACAGAGATTTCCAGACCTGGCTGGGCCAGGGCCCACCGCCACGTTCGTCTAGTCACTGGGCGGATGCAACTCAGCGCAGCCATGGCACAGAAGTCAGACTGTGCAGTCCAGGGGCCCATGGCGGGGGGGAACAGACACGACTCTTCCATCGCCGGGTGCAACCTGGTGGAGGCCCTGGGGTCCATTCCCTGCTCCCTCCTGTGCTCTAGGAGCAGCCCACAGCAGCAGCCACCTCATCTCAAGCACAGATTGGGGGGGGGAGGGCATGAGCCCCGGGACCTCTGCCAGGCTGCGCCCAACAGCGGGAGCACCCCTACCATGCAGCTGTGGGCTGCAGAGAGTCCCAGACCTGGCCAGGCTGGGGCCCAATACCATGCTCGTCTGGCTGCTGGGCAGGCACGGCTCAGGGCAGGCATGGCACAGAAGTGGGATTGGGCCCCAGCCAGGTCTGGGAAGATGTGGTCATCCAGGGGCATGCAAGAGAGGCTCTGGGGGCCTGTGCCCCTCCCTGTGCTCGAGATGAGGTGGCTGCTGCTGCAGGCTGCCCATTGTGCCTGAAGCACAGGTGGGGGGCCACTCCTGGGTTGCGACCAGTGGCAGGAGCCCCCCCACCCCAATGCCCCTGGATGACCAGATCTTCCCAGACCTGTCTAGGCCCCCCAGCCCAACCCAAAGAGGCTCTGGGATCTACCTGTCAATTGGGATCCCAGGTTGCTGACCAGTGGTCTAGGCTATGGAAGTCAGGCAGCCGGGGAAGTCTGCTGGCCCGGGATTCTGGAAGCCATAAGGTCCCCAGGTCTGAGGCAGCCTGCCTTAACTCCACAGCTATTCTCAGATTGGCACTCCCAGAGCCACATACCCGGGACATTTGCTTGACCAGCTTTTTCAGGAAACTTCCATTCAACTTCTTATATAGTAGTATTTGGTGATAAATGGTGTTAGAAATGTTGCTGATAGGTCAAGCAGGTAGTAAAAACAGCAGTATGAAAGCCACATAAAGAGCCAGTTATAGTCTTAACCTCAGGTCCGAATGAGATACAGGTCACTGTCAGCTGACAAGTGGCTTTGGAGCTTTTATTTTAGCAAGCTAATAAAAAGGCAGGAAAAGAGACCAAGAGTGATAGTGTTGCAGGGTCTCTAGCACTAATCAAGCACTTTGTTAAAAAGGTTTCTCTGTGCATGCATTAACACAGATCATAGATATGAAGGAACAAGTTAGTTTTTGCTCCTAGGTATGTCCTGGTCTTACCAGGCAGGAAGTTGTGGAGTCAGTTACAGATGCTGGCTTCAGTTGCCACCAAGGTTTCTGACTACTACTGGTGTGAGTGGGCTAAATTGTTAGAAGAAAAAAATTCATGCCTAGTTTTTATTTCCCTGTTTGTTCTGCTTGGGAGGCCACCTGACTGGAAGCAATTTACCTGAAAAATCTTTGCTGGCCAAAGGTGCAGCATTCTGGGAATGACTGGAGGCTGTCTTAGATTACTTTTCTATATGTGAAGCATGATTTCATTGTCTCCATGGCAAAGGTGACAAATCTCTGCTTTCTTCATGCCAGCAAAATATGTCTGTAAAAATGCCTTGTTTTACAGTATCTGATAAACCGTATCTCGAAGACCAATATTTGTTGGTCTTCTGCTTTTACCTGCTCTTTTGGTTACCAACTGAATCATGATGACGGTTCACCCTGAATACGGTTAAAAGGGAAATTTTCTTTTGATTTAATGATGCATCTACAGCAGTCGTAAGAGAAGGACTGAATTGCTTTATTAGTTCTTATACTACCTGGCCTCTTAGGTATAACATTTTGTTTTTTCAAAAGGTAGGCCATAACAATGCTTTCCTTTTGTGTTGTGAAAGGAAAACATATTTTTTAAGGACATGGTCTAAATGGGATATAGGGAAAGTTTTTCTATATCTTACTGCTCTACTTTGCCCAAGGATTCAGTCTAAGGGTATGGATGGTGGTGGTGGTTGCGGGGGGGGTGGGTGTACACATCAGGAACTGCATTTTCATACCCACCTCACCACAGACTTGCAAAGAGGAGAATTCCTGGAGCACTTTCTGAGAGATTGTAGGAAGATAACCACCTACCAGTGCAGTATGATGCTTTTATAAAAAACCTGGGGGATTGTGATCTGGCAGAGTCCACAGTCATATAGGATGGGAACTGGCTAAGGGGCCAAACCCAGAGAGTGTTACTGGACAGGTCTGTATTATCTTGGTGGGAGGTGGCTAGTGGTGTCCTGCAGGATTTCGTTCTTGGCCCCATGCTGTTCAACATCTTTATCAATGATTTAAAGGAGGACGTGGAAAGCAAGCTGGCCAAGTCGGCAGATGATATTAAGTTATGGGGGAAAACGGTAACAATAAGGGATAGGATGCGGATCCAAGTGGACCTGTACAAGCTGGAAAGGTGGGCGGGGTGGAACCAGATGCAGTTCAATGAAGATAAATACAGGGGGCTTCATCTGGGGACAAGTAACCAGCAACATGAATATAGGTTAGGAGGAGATGTCCTGGCCCGCATGATGGGTAAAAGGGGCCTCAGGGTTATGATCAATCACAGGATGAACATGAGCTGCCAGTGTGATGCTGTAGTAAACAAAGCTAATAGCATACTGGATGCATTAGCTGACGCATTGCGAGCAGGGCTAAGGAGGTGATACTTCCTCTTTACTTGGTGTTGGTGAGACCCCAGCTGGAGTACTGTGTCCAGTTCTGGACACCGCACTTCAAAAGAGATGGGGAGAATCTTGAAAGGTCCAGAGAAGGGCCACAAGAATGATTAAGGGCCTGGAGGACAAACCTTATGAGGAAAGACTAAGGGATTTGGGACTGTTCAGCCTGGGGAAGGGAAGATTGAGGGGGGACTTGGTGGCTGTCTATAAGTATGGAAGGGGTGAATATTGGGAGCTGGGAGAAAAACTGTTCACTAGGGTGGCTCCAGGGGAGGACAAGGAGCAATGACCATAAACTGTTAGAGGATGGTTTCAGGTTGGATGCAAGGAAAAACTTCTTTATAGTAAGGGTGACCAGAATCTGGAATAGACTTCCCAAGGAGGTGGTACAGTCCCCAACTTTGCAAGTGTTCAAGAGAATAATGGACAGACACCTTGCTGGGATCATTTGATCTCAGCTGTATTCCTGCCCAGAGCAGGGGGGCTGGACTCTGTAATCTTTTGAGGTTCCTTCCAGCCCACAATCTCGATGATTCTGTTAAGCTGATTCCATCTTGTTAGGGCATAACATAGGAAGCACAGCTTAGCAAAGCAGTGACAATCTTTATATGAGATGCTATAAAGTGCACAATATAAAAAAGATTTTTCCCCCCTCTCACTAATCTCTTTTAATTATATTAGCTGCAATTGTCACAAATAATATCTAGGACTAAACAATTTTCAGAAAAGTGTTACGGTAACTTTATCCCTTCAAAATGTTGCCAGCATTTGGAGAAATAGTTTAAGGAACACAGATTTCAAATGGATTTTATAAATTGATTTGAGGCTAATGTTAGAACAATAATCTGGATACCATCTTAAATAATCTTTCTTCTCCAATATTGATATCAAATTGATTTTTTTCCCCTATCCCTCAGAAACATGCTTGGAACTAAAAAATCATTAGGCCCAGATCCTATTCTACCTTTAAGACACCTAAATGGCTCTTAAGCAACTTTTAGGCATCCAAGGGCATGTCTACACATGCAATTAATGTGGAACAATAAACTCCAGCACTTATAGTACCAGAGTTTATTGCTCCCAGGCATGCTGTTACAATGTGTGCCCAGGACCACAGCACGTTGAAATGGGTCAGACCAGCCCTGGCTGGCAAGGGCTTCCTGGGGGTCAGCCTGGTAGCGTGGGGCTGCTCCAATCCAGCTCAATGTGCTGCAGAGGAGCTGGATGGGGCATGAGGGTGCTCCAGTGCAAGGCCAGCCAGCAGCAGCCCCTGCACTGAAGCACCCTTGTGTCCTTGCCAGCCACATCAGCATCTACCTGTGCAGTGCTGCAGAGTAAAAAACCTCCACAGCAGGTGGATTTGTATTTACATGTAGTAACCTGCTGTGGAGTTTATTAGTTTACTTCAGCCTA